GTTGATGTCAAGCTCCATGCTAAAGACAAAGCGTTTACACAGTGCATGAACAGAAGGGCATCATGCTTGGCGAGTATGTCAAGCAAAGTTTTGCATGGGGCTATGCAGGTAGGCTTAGCTTGTGGCAGATAATCCTGAAAAATGGAACAAACGGAAAGTGGTTGGGAAGAGAGAAGAAAGCCAAAAAAGCTCGGAATGGTTCCCCAAATGCATTTCTGGTGAATCGTTTTTTGATCTGAATTTTTCGACTTTGATGTCATACAGACGATTAGGAGATAAGCGCTCCATTTCCTTGTACGAAAAAGCCATCTCCAGCATCGGAACATGTTCATGCCTAATGGGACGAAAGCTACCAGAATACGAACTAATGTTATCGAGCCCTGCCAATTCGATGGCATCATCCGCCTGCTGAGTTTTATGAGGGAATCTTGATATACACTAGACTACAGAAAAATATAGTCATTATGGTGGTTCTAGGTCAACATAAAGGTAATCACTCTCAGAAAGAGGAAAGGAAAAGTTCAGAAATTTTTATTTTAAAGTTGAAAATTTTCTAAAGTTTTATCGATACTTGTTCTGCGTTGAGGTGCCATTTTCAGAAGTATGTTTTGCTTCCAGGGCGGAAGTCGTGTACTGGAATGTGGCGCCGCTGTCCAGCACGATTCGGGGATCAGATCCTGTATCGTACCCATTCATGGTGCATAATATGTAGTGTACAGCTAATAGCATAGAGTGCTTGTCTTATTATTCAATTTATCCAAATATTTACCAGTGCTACCACATATGCCGCTGGATAAAAATATCTCCAATTCATGGAAGGCGCCGAAACGAACCCTAACCCCCATGGTTACCCTTTCTCACTTTATTCCTTGGTAAGATGTCGGAATGAGATAACGGAAGCTCGAAAATCCTCCCACTCAGACTCCTTTTTCTGGGTAGACGGAACGAGGAACCGAATCTTACTGTGTGCTATCTCATAGACGTCAGAGGGATGCCTCGGCTACTCAGCAATGAGCCACTCAGACGGCGATACCCACACATCGCCTTCTGGCTAATCAAATTCTTCGTGAGCACTTTAGCGTGACAGGAAAAGCGAGGGCGACTGGGACGTAATTGTAGAAGAAGGAGCTAGTTGGAATTCTCAAAGAAAAGCAGTACTGCGACGGGATCACAGAACAAAACGCACCATGATAACTAGCTGGGGAGCGTCTGAAGGTGACCACTAATAGTAAATCATAGGGATCAAGATCAGGGCGTTAGTTGGGCTGAGGGAAAGAACTCTGATAACGCTTTCAATTGAAAGTGTTTTTTTGCTAAGGATCGGCTGAATCAGCCTAGGATAGCGCGGAAATCGATCCTGAGACAAAAGCCTGAAATTTTGGCCTAGTGCAGGGGGAGAGATGGTTGGATGATGGGGGAGCCTAATTGGGTACCGAAAATATTCAAAAATAATCATGTACTACATGTCACCGGCTCCTTATCAATAAGTGACTTCAAATAAAAACGTGTTATCGAAGTATTTCCGCTATGGAGCGTTCATAGTTGGCGATCGTACGTGGGATTAGGCGATTAGGCGAGTAGTCGATTAGGCGAGTAGGCGAGTAGGCGATAAGAGAAGGATGTGTATTGATTTGATGCTCCGCCCATCGAGCGATCGCCTAATCGCCTACTCGCCTACAACGTTCTATGGGCGAGCAAACCCATCAATACGTATGTGGTGCTCCCCGCCTAATCGCCTACTCGCCTGATCGCCTACTCGCCTACTCGCCTAATCGCACGTGCGATCGCCAACTCTGAACGCTCCATTAGATATTATATCCTCACCATCAGCCTTATCTTGATCCTTATGGTTAGAGCAGCAGAGCAGAATTAAAGCGGCCCTCTCCAACTTCTTTACTACTCTTCCAAAGGCGATTTATCGACAAATCCTAGTACAATAAGTCATACTCTCGAAGCCGTGCTGCCGACGTGCATTTTTGTTAGCTCTTACCTCTCAGGCCCAAAGGGATTTGCTTCCTAATTTATGGTTCCCAACCGGTCGACTGCAAACTAGACCACCAGTCAAATCTTCGATTTCAGAGTACTGAAATATGTGGACAAAAATATCGTTCAAATGAGATCAATGGGATTTTACCACTTGTTCGATAAGTACATGCTGTGAACCATACCCTATCTGTGAACGGGTTCCATGGCGCTTACGCAGCCCTGATGGAATGGCGCATGTGACTCTGAAAGGGTGTGGAAAAAAAGTTGTTTTGGGCATCAGGTCATTTGATTTGCTATTATTTTTACCGGCTAGACTCATCAAAAAATAATGTGGATGTTAATGAGCCAATAAACCTTACCTATTACCTCGTAATAATCGTGAGATAGCTTGAACTCTCTTAGTGGTGCTGAGCAACCTCGGTGATAACAGCACTCAACCCCGAACCCCGAACAGATGTAACTTTTTTCACCTTGAATGAAGCTGGACCGGACCATGACCGCGAAAGCGGCGCTACCTGTCACTTTCCATCAATACCATCACTGGAAACTGATTTCAAACACAGGAAGCCGGGAGAATTTGGAAATTTGTTGAAGGATTCTAGGGCTTGAAACCGTTGAGACGGAAATGACGACGTCAACTTGACGAAAGATTCTACCTTCACGGAATCATGAAGGTCCAGCTCGTGAGCCAGCACCGACTTATAGCACAATAATCAGACCGCAGCTGGAACCCGGCTGAGGAGACCTAAGCATTCCGACTCTGCAGGGTCAATTTATTTGAGTCAGGCTCGTCTTGGAAACAAGAACACTGGCTTTGACAGTCTGTGTTTCCAGTTCATTCAGCTGTGGCCCAAATGGCATCAACTCAATTTCATTCACTTTTGCACTATGATTTTGAAGGGAATCGGAATGCGTGGCACATCCCAAGAGAGTATTGGTTACGCTGACATTCGCTCCCTTGCGCCTCCCGTACTTCAAGCGTATTTACCTTGCTGTTTACTTACAAATTCAGCTTGTGTAGCATTCTAGAGCAGTCTGAAAAAGGACCACATGGTTGCTTTGAGTTCTGTCCATAGAACTGGCCAGTAAGCTCTCCTAAAAGGGAAAAAGAACTGATACCCATGCAATTTGACTGATAGCGGTTCCACGGGGAAATTTGTCGGGGTGAGCGCAGCACACAAGACCGCGCGCTGTACGGCACAGCTCATGGGAGCGGCGGGAAGAGAGTTGATAAACTGTGAAATCATACTATACAGAATCATTTCTGTAGTGTGTATTTCGTGATCCCAACAAAAGGGCGATACCCGTCCACCGCGATGAACGGGAGACGGGCGAGTCGCGAGCGGGAAGAACGCGCTTCTGCGCTGAGGACCGTGTCCTGGTCGCAAGACCGGGACAGCGACTCGCTCTTCTGAGCGGTCAAAAAAAAAAGAAAGGTCATGAAGATAATAAGAAAAAGAAAGCAATGGTAATGTCGCAGATCTTTATTCTGTGAGTTGCGACAAAGGTTCATTGATTCATCGCCAGATTAAAGTCAGAAGCAGGGTCAACCGTCCGTTGGACAAGTCGCAACGAAGGAGGGGCGTCGTATTCGGGCCGACTGAAAGAGGGGGTCCGTCGACTGAAAGGAGGGTGGTCGTATCAGCAAGGTCGGCGGCCAGTGCACATGTACCCCAACGAGGAGTTCGGACTTGTGTGATATATACTATCCCGCCCCCCCGCTTGGCGGCTATTTTGAAGAAAATGGAGTTGGGGTGTGACAACTGATCTTACAATTAGAATCAAATACTATAGTAACAACTGAGGGGGATCGTATCGAGGGCCTCCAGAAGGAGAGGGGATCGTAAAATTTTTGAAATTTGTCCAACGTGACGGTTTACCGGAAGACGGAACCCATCAGCCTGTTCACTTTAGTCGAACGATTTAGGGCGATGTTGTGCGCGGGAGGTCCTTCACAATTAGCCTTATTTGGATTTATTGTGGAAAAAGGTATTTTCGACAATTTTGTTGAATTTCGCAACGCAAACTGCGGATAAGAAGACCCTTTCACGCCAGATCGCTCCTGATCGATTGGCTAATGCTGATCGGATAAGGTTTCATCTTGTGACTTCAATGTGGCAAAGAATCGATGAACCTCCATGGCAACTTGCAGGAACTATCGACCTACCGCACCATCATTTTTTCTGTTTTTTGACCGCTCAGAAGAGCGAGTCGCTGTCCCGGTCTTGCGACCAGGACACGGTCCTCAGCGCAGAAGCGCGTTCTTCCCGCTCGCGACTCGCCCGTCTCCCGTTCATCGCGGTGGACGGGTATCGCCCTTTTGTTGGGATCACGAAATACACACTACAGAAATGATTCTGTATAGTATGATTTCACACTTTATCAACTCTCCCAACACCCCTTCATTGATTGTGCCGTACCCCGCGCGGTAATGGGTCGTGCGCTCGCCCCGACGAAATTCCCCGTGCAGTAACCGTGCTCAGGGTCAACCGTCACGTTGGACCAATTTCGAAAATTTTACGACCCCCTCCCCTTCTAGAGGGCCTCGATACGACCCCCCCCCCTCAGGGTTAACCCTTCACGACCATCCTCCACCACCCTCGCCTGCCATCGCCATCATGGGGGCGATTCTATAGTATTTGATTCTGAGACCAGTCGACACAGCCCAACTCCGCCCACTTTTCCCTCCAAAATTGCCGTCGAGCGGGGGTATATATCGAATGTGAAACGGCAAAATTTTCGCACTCAACCCAAAATCCCAGCCTACAACCTAATAATCCGCTCTCCGTTCCATAAAAAATCATCCCTTCCCTTACTGTAACATTGACGCTACCTCGCGAAATACGACCCCCCCTCTTTTCCACCCCCCAAATACGACCCCCCACCCCTCGTTGGACTTTGTCCAACGGACGGTTGACCCTGACCGTGCTGCTAAGGTGCTATCGGTTCGAATGCCGTAGTTTTTCGCACTTGAGTTTTCAGAGAGGTTACCAACAGCACTGGCGAATTCCGTTGACAAGAACTCACGGCGACCATAATCCTTTCTAAGACAACACTATCGAACAATTGGTCAACCTTATGGGGAAATAACGAGATAATTAGGTCTAAGGACACCCTGCGCGATCCTAGGCAATTGCGCTCACAAACGGAAGCACAAGGGCAAAGTAGACCGCCAGAGAAGAAATGGGAAAAATAAAGCGTCAAAAAGATGGCATAAGGGGACCCTCGTATGACAGCAGTAGAATCTATGAAAGGAGTTCTTGGACACAGATAGTTGGAAAAGA